TGTATTTCCCTCCCTCCTCCCTTCCCTCCCTGTCTCCTCTTCTCCACTTTCATTTTGACTTCCAACTTCTTTCTTCCATGTGGCAATAGATAGATAGTGAGATAGACAGACAGACAGACAGATGATAGATACATGATAGACAGATAGGTAGATACATGATTGATAGATAGACAAACAGACAGACAGACAGATGATAGATACATGATAGACAGATAGGTAGATACATGATTGATAGATAGACAGACAGACAGACAGACAGACAGACAGACAGATAGATAGATAATGCTCCCACAGGCTTGCTTATAGGTCATTCAGATCGCTGCATTTTCTCAGTTGTCATTCCCTCTTCCCAGATGACTTTAGATTATATCAAGTCAGAAAAAAAAAAAAAACAACTTGTGGTAGTTTAAAGAAAATGGTCCCCAAAAGAAATGCCACTATTAGGAGGTATGGCCTTATTGGAGTAGGTATGGTCTTGTTGGAGGAAGTGTATCACTGTGGGGGTGGGCTTTGAGGTCTTTATTTAAAGTTTCACTCAGTGTGACTGTCAGTTGATTTCCTGTTGCCTCTGAGTCAAGATGTAACTGGAGTTTGTGCTTTCATTTCTCAGCCTCCCAGTCCCAAGTAATCACATAGAAACTTACATTAATTACAAGCTGTTTGGCCTATTAGCCTAGGCTTATTATTAACTAGCTCTTACAACTTAAATTAACCCATTTCTATTATTCTATATCTTACCACAAGGCTTGTGGCTTGTTACCTTACATCTTGCTTCTCCAGCAGCTGCTTCTTTCTCTCCTAACCCTGCCTTCTTTCTCTCTCTGTTTCTGCTGGGATTTCCCAACTATATTCTATCCTGCCATAGGCCAAAGGAGGCTTCTTATTAACCAATGGTAATAAAACATATTCACAACATATAAAGGGGTATCCCACATTAATGTAGGGCTCTCAGCTCCAACACTACATCTGCCTGCACATTACCATGCTCCAAGATGATAATGGAATGAACCTCTGAAACTGCAAGCAAGCCACCCCAATTAAATGTTTTCATCAATAAGAGTTGCTATGATCATGGTGTTTCTTCAGAGCAATGAAAACCCTATCTAAGACACCACTCAGTGACAGCAACAACAAAGATGCCTAGATTAATACCTTGTAGGTTCAAACAGTAGAAACTGCTGGAAAACAGCACAGAGGACAACTTGAAAGGCGTTAAACAGAACAAAACACAAACCACCTCAAAGCAGCAGCAAAACAGCTAATGTGTGACTCCTCATCACCAGGGTGCAGGAGAGGACCAACATCACAGCCTCAGGAGCTCAGGGAAAACAATTAATTATCCCATTGCATGAGAAATGGATTTCACAATGTGTACAGTCAAAACCAGCCTTCCATTGCATGCCACACAACCGCCCAATCAACAGCAGCCTTCCATTGCATGCCACACAACCACCCAATCAACGGCAGCCTCCCATTGCATGCCACACAACCACCCAATCAACAGCGGCCTCCCATTGCATGCCACACAACCACCCAATCAACAGCGGCCTCCCATTGCAAGTCACACAACCACCCCAATCAAAGGCAGCCTCCCATTGCACTAGACATGGCCTTGCTAATCAAAGGTGAGATAACAGCACTTAAAAGACAAAAATAGAGAACATGTTGTCAGCATGCACTTCTAAAATAAATGCTAACGAGATTCTCCCCCCCCCCAGGGGGACAAGAAATGCACTAAACGTGATGGCAGCTGGCAGGTTAAACATGTAGTGAATTCTCAGTGAGTGCTGGTTGGTTCAAATGTGTAAATAATGCCTGTTTAAACCAGATACAGGATTGTTTTATTAATAGCAAAAAACAGCAGAGTAGGTGAAGGCTAAAATAATCTGAGGCTCTCACATTTGTCTGGAAAATAGTAAAATTCTTATTTATATTAGCATTAAGTAAGTCTAGCATTCATATTAACTAGTACTATTATAAGACAATCTCAAAAGAATTATAGTTCACAGATTAATTAATGGAGATAATGAAATGACATAAAACTCTAAGGAGTTAAAACTACAACGGAACAAAAATATAGACTCAACGGAATAAATAGAAAACATGTAATGAGACAGTAGGACCTAAAAACAGAAATCAGTAATTACATTAAATGCAAATGTATGACTCCAAATCTAGAATATTGTCAGGAAGCACACACAAAACATAAAAGCCATTATACTGTGCAAAAGAAACATATATTAAATATGATGCTATAAAATGACAGACAGGGGAATGCTGAGAAAAAGAAAGGCATCCCCCATAAATACTTTCAAAAGAAACTTGGTATAGTTACACTACTATCAATCAAGTTGACTTTAAGATGAGATGTATCACTACAAGAGTATAGTTCATAAGAAAGAAAGATTTAGTGCCAGGAATATATAACAAGGATTCCATGGCTATATGCAGTGAACAGCACTAAGTAAACAGAACAATAGAACAATCTTCAATCATAGTGAAAGATTTTTAACAGATCTTTAATGTCAGCTATGTGGTAAGAAGGGGTAGAGGGGGAAGACAGAGAGGCAGATAGAGACAAGAGACTGAGACGGAGAGGAGAGAGGGAGAAAGGAAGAGGGAGAGGGAGAGAGAGAGAGAGCGAGAGCGAGAGCGAGAGCGAGCGAGCGAGCGAGAGAGAGAGAGAGAGAGAGAGAGAGAGAGAGAGAGAGAAAGCTGTTTTACCCAGCTATATAGCCCATGAAGCACAATGACCTTGAGGGTAAGATTCCCCAAGGATGTAAGAGTGGGTTTCTCTTGGGTTAACCAGCAGCCATCTAATTGGACTTAAAGCCCACTCAACAAGAGAAGATTTGTGCCTAATTTTATAAACTTAGCCAAGTACCCAAAGATGGTGAGGTCATAGACCATAGAGAAGAACCCACTACTGCCAATTCTCTAAGGTATCATAGTTACCAACTATGTTCTAAATATCTTTCCTTATATCCACAGAGAAGTGTATCATCGACCCCTCATCAAAAAAGCTTCTTTGTGTAGCAGACAGAGAAATCACAGAAATCCATACCTGATCAAATACAGAGAACAACTGTCTATGGCGTGCCCATTGACAACACAACCCCTACACCTAAAGTTCAGGGAACACTGTAGAAGAGGGCGTGGAAAGATTGTAGGCACCAGAGGACCAAAACATCTGCTTCCAGACAGTGTCTTCTATATAAGACAGAGAGTTACACCCATGAAATTAACAATATGGTCACCTAAACAAGACTCACACAATGATAACACCAGTTGACGTTCCAACAGAGATGGAGGAAATGTCACAAGGCTCCAATCCTGATGAAAGGCTACACAATTCATGGCTGATGAGAGAGGGTAAATGAGTCTCCTCCAGGAATGAGCCCCTCCATTAGGTTAACCAGTCTCATGTGGTCAGCCTTACATATATATATATATATATATACAGATAAGCAATACTAAGTGGACTCAGCTATAATTGTATATTCATATGTGTGCATGTGCATGTATACCAATAATAATTGAAGAAAAAGAGGACATACATTTGAGAGGGAGTTGAGGGATGCAGGAGTTGTGTGGGAAGGGTGGAAGGGATGTAAATTCTCAAAATAATAAGCGTAAAAATGGTTTTTGAAAGAGCTTGATTGGCATCAAAAGCATTACAACTAACAACTGAAGAGTGGAATTGCTTTAAAAGTATACAGGGAATGTTTGCCAAAAATAACCACTTCAAGGGCCAGAAAGTAAATTTCAAATGGTTGAAATTATAAGGGATATGTGGGCTTTTAAACCACAAAGCTACAATAGAGTATATTCCCTTCAGTTTATAATAAATGCAAGAATAGAAGAATCAAAATGATTTAAAATTAAACATTACACTTTAAAATAACACACTGGCCAAAGGGGATAAAAATATGATGGAAATTATGAATGCTTTAGTTCAATATAATGAATTTTGTGTACCTTTAAAACCAAGATGTAATATACATTGAGTGCACACATAAAGTGAAAACAAAAGCTTTGTCTTCTAAACCTCTGTCTTAAAGATTTCAAAAAGACAGTAAATAACTCACAATAAAGATAACATGATAAAAGTGCAAATAATAAAATAAAAATAACAAAAACACATGGAGAAATCAACAATGGCAAAAGTGTTTGTTACTTGAAATCAGTAATAACTTAGTTGTGGCTCAGGCAAGAGAAAAAGAAGTTACTAATATTTAAGTACACCAAGCTCTTAAGAGGAATTAAATGAAGGTTACAGGAGCCTATAAATTCTAAATGTTAAATGAAACTGACGAGCTTGTGGAAAAGCTAAAGCCTATAATAATGTTTTCTTAGAAACAGAAAAGGTTGATTAACCTCCCCTTACAGAAATGCAATCTGCAATTTGAAGCCTTCTCTTAAGGAAACCTTCAGGCAAGATGGCCTCAGTCATGCAAGTCCCTAACACTGAAAGGTATTACTGACCACAGGAGAAAGAGAAGATGCTTATGTGTTATGAAGTCCACAAAGGACTGTTTCAAAACGCAAAGAGAAAAGAAAATGAGGGCAAAAGGAAATTCCAAGAGTAACATTTAAGCCCTAAGTAGAGCTCACTCCGCAGGGTCAGCTAGGGAGAGAGCTTGTTCTAGCTAGCTCTCTACATCCCTTATAAAGACAGGTTCAGAGACGGTGGGCTGCTACATTGAGCATCCTCCAATAATTGCCCAAATTCCCTTTGACTTCCAAACAGACTGGGATTTTCTCATTAATGATTTGCTACTCTGGACTTTTCCAGTGTCTCATTATGTCTTCAGCAATGCTTAGACTTCTGTCTGCCTTGACATCAGTGATCTCTACCTTGATAACGGGGCCCTCTCTTCTCTGTTTATGAGGAGACTGGAGGAAACACATTTTGGCTGTTTTCCTTAGTGGTTTTTGTGCTTTGTGTTTACTCCTACCAATCCAGTCCCACGACCTATGTGCCCCAGCCGTTTGCATACCTGGAAGAATTTATCCACTTGTCGCACATAACCAGCCACATCGTTATCAGATTTGAAGATCTTCCAAACCTTTCTTTGTGCCTTTTTGTATTCCTTTGATCCCTTCCAGTTCATGGCCATCAAGGAGCGCTCTGTCAAGGCGGCTGCCACGATGATGTCCAGTTGGCCATTGTAGAGCAGAACCTGAAATGAAGTTCAGTCCTAAGCAAGTATGGAATTCAGAAGGAAAGGCAAGGAGCAAACTCAGGGACAGAGGGCGAACCTGCATCAGACAGGGGAACCTGAGATTTGCAGCCAGTATCCCAACAGGCTAGGCTAGCAGATCTGAGGGTCACTGCCTTCCAGGTCACCACACACACCAACAACCTGAAAGAAACTCTCCTCCTGTCTCAGCCAATGCATCCTTTCAAGCTTAGTTCATCATAGTCAACAGACATCTGAGTCCCAAAAGATAAGCAAAGAGGCTTTCCCGAACTCTGTACAACGTTGGTCTCTTCAGTCTTCAATTTGACCTGAATGGAGACCTTTGGTTGAATCCTTAAATTGGATTTCACGGTGTATGCTATTTCTACCTTGATGATGCTACCTTCTTAAAAGGCTTAAGCAAATCTAAAAGCCCAGTGTGTGTGTGTGTGTGTGTGTGTGTGTGTGTGTGTGTGTGTGTGTGTTCATCATGTAGGCATGAACAACTCACTTGGCTGACTAGTAAGAGGATATCTTTTAATCAAACCAAGGAATACTACACTTTGCATTTTGCTCTGCTTGGTCCTCCTGTGTCATTTGTAGCAACCACAGCATCTTCAAACAGAAAGATAAACATCTGTTGAGCCTGTGCCACTTCCAAGGCTCCTTGTCTTTACTGTGATAGCCACTCATCCACAGAGAGGAGCATCCTCCCATTCCAGAACACTCTGTTCCCTCCTACATGAATGGATACCACAGAGAATGCTGGGCTGGCTTCCCTTCTTCCCACACAGCTCACAGTTCACATGTCAAGGATTTAGAGATATGGATACTTTCTGTTCCCAGTAACCCTATTTGTCAAATGAACTCTAGGAAAAGAAAGAAAAAATGCATTTAACTATACTTGTTGAGCCTCGTTATAACCAAGAACTCAAAACCCAACATCTTATAGCTCGTGTATAGTTAAGGGTACCATGATATACGAATTCTATGGGACGGTGTAAAATCACTTGAGTATTTGGTCGAATCATGAAGTGAAATGGGATGTGCTTATCTTAAAATTGAAATATGAAGGCTGAAAGTCAAACATAAGCCGTATTACAATTATCTTACTCAATATATCTACAAACACACATATATGAAATGAAAAGTTTGGAAAATAACATGGCTCATTAATTTACAAGGTAGAGAGGGACCTGAACCACTTCCTCCTTTGTTTTCTGTCCTTCTGAGATTGTTTACACGGGGCTAGCATCATCATAATTCTCACAAAGCGTTGCCACTCTCCCCAATCAAGAGGCTTTCCTAGACTCTTCACAAACTTTAGTTTACTTCCGAGGCTCTGCTTTGGCCTGAGTAGAGGAAACCTTTGGTTCAGTCTTCAGATTAGATAGTAAGTATTTGCTGCATCTGTTTCCATCTCTGCGCGGCTTCCTAAAAGGCTTAAATAGCATTAAAAAGCCAGGACTTTGACCCACTCCCAATCCTCGAACAGAGGTGGGACGGGAATCAGGCTAAGATGAAAGAGTCCTGGGCCTCCACCACAGGAACACTCAGCCTTTCATGTCTCCCAGCCCCCGTCGCCACCCCCTCCTACACAGGAACCCAAATGAAAAAGACCTTGATAGATTTAAGGCCATTTTTAAAGATTTGACTCAACTGAGCAATAAAATATTTGCATTGTTTGTACAAAACACAGCCCCAAAGGCTTCTAATCCTTATGGTCTGTGCAATGCCTCGTACAGCTGTTTGAGCCAAATGTATGGAAACAATTACACGTGATGGGTACCAGTGAACAAGGCTCAAACGCTTCGCCATTCTATGGCGGCCTCATTATGGCTGATTAACAGAGATAATCACGTACAAAGTAATTCTCCTTCCATAGTTCAGTGGAAAGATGCTGATTAATTAGCAGCTCGCCAGGCTGTCTGGGCTGTTCATGCCCATGCTATGAGCTATCTTATCCCAGATGTGTCCCTGGAAGCTACCTTTTTAGCTTCACCATACCTTAGAAACCAGCATAAGGTTGTTTACTTGGTTTTTTTTTTTTTCATTCTTAAGGGACCATGACAAAAGTCATAGCTTACAGGCTTGTCTGCAAGTATTGCAGCATACACATGCTGATCTGAACTGAGGCACAGCCCACCTCTGAGCTGCTTCCCTCATCAGTCCAAACTTCACGAACAAGAACACCAATACTCTAGGACAAGGTAGCAAGGGCCAAGATGCCCAATCTTGATGTAGAAGACCCACTTTGGGGGTCAATGAATAGCTTCCCTTTTCAAAGCAAGGCACACACGTTTAATTTCTAAAAGGCACTGGAATCAAATCACAAAATAACAGCAAAAGAGAAATTAAATAAATGGTTATGACCCTCATGATTGCCAACTTGGCTTTTTGCTAAAGCAGACTTCTGCATGTTCCCATGAGGATGGGACTAGAGACAACTGGCATCTAGGTGAGTGAGCTGAGTGAGTCAGGAGACACCTGCCCTGATTGGGAATGGTACCCTCCAACAGGTTGGGTGCCCAGATGGAACAAAGAGTCAGCAACAGAGGAAGCCTGTAAGCTGCATGCTCCATCTTCTTCAGCAGACGCTGTATGTTACTGCCACTTCTCCAGGTTTGCAATGCACACCAGTCACTGCCTGGAGTTAGCAGGGGTGGCTTCTTGGTCTATTAGGCGACCTCAAGACCAATGAGTGGGTAAAAGAGCCCAGGGTGCAGCACCTGTGAGCTGAGAACCCAGGTGCATGGAGTCCAGACACCATACACGGGTGCCATTTTCTCGCATCCAGAGAGACACAGAGATCTCAGGGCCCGGCCTGACCCCACACTCCTGCAGACAATGAAAGATGTGCACACGTACACAGGGCCTGGCTTTTCCCAGACAGGTCAGTGAGGATATAAGTCCATCTGTCCTAGACCGAGGAGTTTCTCAGGACCATGATTTTCAGAGCTAAGGGCAGAAGAGTCACACGAGCTTTCCCATCCGTGTGATGGTAATTAAAGCCACAAAGTCTAGAGTCAAAGAGAAGAGAGAGAAGTGGCATTTAGCTTCATTTCTGGGCCAACAGTGTGTCAAATTGAACAAGAAGCAAGGGAAGACAGTTGGCGCTGCTTTCCAGAAATGAACCAGGCAGTGCCCGGAGCACCCCAACTCCGGTTCCCTGAAGTCTATGAGGCCGACAAGGAGCACAAGCATTCTTGTGGCGTTTTCCTTCCCTCTCTGGAGGACTGGCTGGTTAGCTCAGTAAAACTGGTTGCTATGCCATGAGATGGAAAAGTGCTTGGTTTTATTTGATTGTTTGTTTGGTTGGGTTTTTTGTTTGTTTTTTCAAGACTCGGTTTCCACACAGCTGTGAAGCCAGTTCAGGCTGGCCTTGAACTCACAGAGATCCACCTGCCTCTTCCTCCTGAGTGCTGGGATTAAAGGCATGTGCCAGCACCACCCAGCAGAAAATGCTTGTTGTATTAAAAAAAAATCAAAAATTGCACTTTACTTGTTTATCCTCTATAACTGCCGTATTTTTAAACCACATGCATGCTTTCAACTTGTGTAAAGAATGAGGAAGTGTGCCACAGTTTCAAGGAGGCCAGAGGATGCTCTACTGTTTCATAGTCTGTTTGGGGTCGAGTTTTAGGTCACATGGTTACAGTGCTGCAATAATGGAAAACCTTGTAACAGGCAGGGACACTTAGAGCAAACTGGGTGCCTCAGTTTGACAAAGGCCGTGACTGGGTCAAGAGCCTGCAAACCTCCAAATGCTACCAGTCCCGTCTCTCACAGCACCCAGATAGAAGAGCGTTTGGTTCTTAGATCATCTTAAACCTCATTCCAAAACTGAAGCATTTATGAGCAAGGCATCAGGAGATCAGGACGACAATCATCTTTTCATCGTTGATAAAAAGCAGAGAGGGTGGGCCGGGGAGGTGACTCAGCTGGTAGACTGTCTTGTCACCAGATCTGAATTTAACCCTTGGAACCCACATGTGGAGAGAACTGACTTCATTTTAATGCTCTCTTATTCTATCCACATGTGTCCTGTGGCACAATCATCCATGCGTAACAGATGCACACATACATGAACACATACGTAAAAGGAAAAACAACACACAGGAAAAGTGTTTTACTCTGTACCCCGAAGTGCATTCCTCTCCACACGGCTTTATTCTTACCCACCCTCCCGAGGCAGGGCTAGGCATATGGCCACTGTGTTGTTAAGGAAGTCATGAGTGTATGAGGTCCTGAGTGACTTCTGGATTCCAGACTTTCAAAGTCCTACCTATATCTCCTTCAGAAAGCAACTTAGATACTCCAAAACAGAAAGCACTTATTCCCATGACTAAGAGATCAGTATCTCCAAAGCCCCTGGAAACTGTAGGTGGGTGAGTGTGGAACCCAGTTCGTGTTTCCAGAATAACGTCGGGCAGTTTGTCCATCTCTGTTGAGGTATCTCTCTCAATCATTTCTCTCTTTGTGTGGGCAAGAATGCAGGGGAGGAGGAATTATTCACAGAGGGTGACAGAGTCTAATAGAGCTGGCCTTCTTTTTTTTTAATTATAATTTTGTTTTTAGTATATATTTTTGTTTTTAGTATATAGAAATCCTAGGTTTCAGTATGACATTTCTGTACAAGTGTATAGTGAGCTCCATTCATATTTACCCTGACATCACTCTCTAGTCCATCACCCCCTTTCCTACTTTTTCTCCCTATTTTACTTTGATGCCGTCAGGGATGGGGCATGTGTGTGCATGTGTGTGTGTATAAACTTACAGTCTGCATATGAAAGAAAACATCTGATATTCATTTTCCTGAGCATAGTTTCTCATAACGCGATCTCGCATTCAATCCGTTTCCCTGCAAAGGCCAGCATTTTGTTCTCCTTTATGACTTACTAAAACTCCATTGTATATGTACGTAGTCTAGTCCAGCATGGCTTTACCCGCACGTGTTGATGGGCATCTCGGCAGCGCCCATGACGTCACTGTGGTGAACA